GGTGGTGCGTTAGATTTTCATCTAACCAGGAATTCAAACGGTAATTCGAACAGTAATGTTCCACAAGTCTGTACGCAAAAAAAATCCAATTTAAATCATAGACCGGATAAGAATAATTCCCTAACCATAAATATTTGCTTTTCTATACCCAACAGTAATTAAGTACGATATGTGAATTTACTGAATTTCTGTGTCTAAAATTGTCCATATTCTACAGTTTTACTTGATGGTACGAGTGCGTGAATTTCTCTCAGGTCCCATTCCAGTTGAATGCGAAATACTACAGGATTCGGTAATGAACCGTAAATAATTTTGACGTATAGCAACGATATCACACGCCACAGCAGCTCTAACTGGCTGCTTTGTGCTAAAGATATCAAAGTGTGGAGGGCGATCAAAACACCAGATGATATCAAAACGCTTCAAGCTGGTCTGGATAAGGCATACGTGTGGTCATTCCAGAAAACAATTCGATTTCAGGTGGACAAGTATAGAGTACTGCACTTACTGAACAAGTTAGTGCACTCGTACAAATCAGCAACCAGTAGCTTCAAACGTCTTGTGGCAAGGAATATCTGCGAGTTTTCGACCACTTCGACATTGCATGTTCGAATTAGACCGAAACGGCGTCAAGGCGGGGTAGCCACCACTTGAGCTACATGAAGCGTGCATTTGGATGTGTCGCTAATTACTAGAGCTCAGTCAGAACAGCAATTCGGGAGGCCACCTTCTCAAGCTGGCGGGGAAGTGTAGTCCTTTGGAATGCCTTCCGAAATTCTCTTCCGTACGCGTAAGCGGAATTTGGAGTGCCCTAATAGAATTGGTCAGATTTGCTCCCACCCTGGTAGAGTTCAAGGCACTATTTGGCAAGGTACTTATTTCCCTGCTCCTTTTTATATGACTCATTACACATGGAAAAACATAAGTGTCTATATGCGCTTTCACTGGTGGTCAAAGCCAAGATATCGTCCCACTTTTTAACATCCTGTGGGTGTACAACGGAAGGTGGCACGATTTTTTAATAACACCCTTTTTGCTATCATTAAATAGGGAGTTACCCTAGATTTACAGCTTATTTTGAATATACCACAGTGAGTACACTGGTTTAAACACAAGCTTGTTAACAATTTCTATATTTTGTAGTTGCATCATAACCATTCTACGGTACCTGTCAAGCATCAGACATTTTACCCATAGAGACGCAATGTTCCATCGGTGAAGCCCACTCTCTGCATGACGCTCTTGCCAAGTCAAAGGCAATGTTATCCATACCACATAATTACTATGAACGGTTTCAGAGTGTACTGTGAGTTCCACTTTACTTGGAAGATTTGTACATTATATGATCAAAAATGACACAAGTTACACACTAAACTACCCTTGGAAATCGGCCTAAAAGCGGTTGAAACTAGACTAACATTGGTTAAGGGAACCCAAAACGAGCGGCATTGTTTTGTAAAACCAGCTCCCTTTGAATCAGCGCAAATCCCCAGTTACCCAAGAATAACAGGTAGTGCGCTGTAAGCTGCCACTGGAGGACCAATAACAGGTGCTTTGTACAAAAACCAGAAACGATCTATGGCGGTAGGCGAGAGATTCATAAATAACCCATTAACAACTATCCCCAAAAGGGTAGGGTCAACATTGCTGCTAACTTCCTTTATCCGCTTTTGGCATCCGTATCTCTCAAATGTTTGTATACAAACGCACATGGTCTCCTCAGCAAAAGGGTCGAGCCTCAATGAGTTGACATCTCATCACCGAAAACGTGAAATGGCTAAACACATGAGTACTGTCATCGAGATCGTACGCTTGCGCAACAACTGACCCACTAATTGATGCAGTATAATTCTGTGCTACCTTCCGGACATATATTTCGACTATGTAAACGACCAAGGGGTTCAAACAGTAGGCCCCTTATGATAAGGCCTAAAATTATGGTGAGGCGCTATATGTTTGATGGTTATTGTATTCCGCCTACCATTGTTCATACTAAAAAGAGACCATATTTTGGCTTCCGGTTGACGAACTGACCGGTACGGTCTTACTTCTCCTGATGTAAGACTTCATGTTTGATGAGCAATTCACGACGGAACTGCAAAAGTTAGTCACTGCTTCACCACTGTACAACTATGTAAATTCTGAAACACCTATCTGGACAAGAAAACAGCAGCCTATTTTTGACCTAGATTTACCAACGATGAAATTAATGTCTACGTAGTATCAACAGGCACACTTGTTTAGTCGCAGTGATCATGGGACAGCGCCATCTGCCACATATTCTAAGTACAGTAACTCACATATTACACCCAATATTCTCACGCCGTAATCTGTCTGACAATATTGCTGCAACACTCTGGTTTTCCTAGCCAAATTTCGGTTAATTATTCATTAGCAGCAAATAAAATTATGTGGTTTGACGTATATCCTATCATGAAAACTACACCGAGAAATAAATACCTTTAAGTCGCCTTGCTTCAAGTTTGTTATTTTGATAATTCAGAACTTAGGGAAAAATTCTCATTTTCTATCAACACCGTCGGAATAAATTTAATCGCACCTTGCGCTGGATTCGAAACGAAGCGTTGTTTTTATGTACCTCTCTTGTGTGTTCGGTCCCCACGAAGGTAGGCTAATAAATGAAAACAGCCATTTCGTCATGTTTCACTTTGACAGACGGACTAGTTATTAGTAAAATTCCAAATCCTTGACATGTGCTTGTGGTAAGGGTATTTACTGCGTCGAACTATTAGCTCCGATTGGAGACGCTTATGCACGAAAAAGGAAATTATCAATTCCATTTAAGCGTATAAAGTCTATATACTCGATATTTGTTTCAGCACTATATAACTGCTTGTTCTTCTTGATAAACAGCAAAAATTTACGCTAAGATTGATATCACAGCAAAAGTGCAAATGCATCAACAGTACCAGCGTACTGATTCCAGTTGCTAGTGGCCCATGAAACCAATGCCTCGTCGTATGACGTTGGCATGTATGCACGATTCCAGAATGGTCGAAAATGCCAGAACAAAAATGTATCCTAGGCAACTGTGTTTTTAGTAGATGCGATGACGGTATAGATTTGAATAACAGCTTAGGTCAATGTTGGAAAATTTTCCTGCAATTTCGTTAAAGCTGGAACAGAATTGTTCTGAGATTTGCATCGGTAAATCTGAACATGGACAATGCAGTGAAGGAATAATACATAATGTTACCCAATTTTAACATTAAGCCATTAGGCTTAATATAACTTGCAATAAATCCGTGTGATTTACTCAACCAAACCTTAGTGCTAATGTCTGTTATTATTTACTTATATGTTCTTGTACTTACCTTTTCGTCACTAAATTCAGCATGAACAACGTCCGTCTGAACGTGTCGCGTAATTGCGTTACTACGTAAGTATAACATGGACTGCAAATTCTTACCAACCGAACTACATACACACTTAGTATAAGAAGATTCCACCGCAAACTCCTGGAATATTGATGATTTTAAAACAAGTTACCTCACCTTATAATACTTATAATTTAGAATAACATATTGTGAATGTTATAAGTACTTGCATTAGAATTTACCGCAGTCGATGCCAATGGAGCACGATAGTATCTTGTCATTACAAATGTAGTCCAAAATGCTTTTGAATAAGGACAAATATTTTCACGAATGCTAGAAGATAGTACGTAACCAGAATTTACTTTTACGCACGCATCTAGACGCAGAGTTATTCTTAAACGCGCTTCCAAACTGACTAGAATAAAGGCTGCACTAGATTGGCGTTTTGGTTCATGGTATAAAAGCCATTTCTGAAGAAAAGTACAACCTTCCAGACGACGTAGCGGCTAGTTGAGCTGAAGCTGCCTAACCACTAAAGTAGCAAAAGTAGCCGATTCCTGCTTCAAGGAACAGCTTTCATCAGAATCAGTCTATATACTTACGCTATGAGCCCGTGTTGTTTTGTCAACGCTCACGACAACCTGGACAGCGTGGCTAAAATGTTAATATTGACAAAACATTAGCATAATAAGGTGCTATTTTAGTTTTCTGTATTTTCCTTACCATCCCAGAAGCACGATTTGAGGTTAATGCTACATTGAACGCAGTAGAACCAGAGCAGGTGTTCGGCCGCAACGGAACTAAATATGAACATAACATCCTCCGAATAGACATGTTCTGTCTACATCACCACCGTCCAACAAACTGAAGTAGATTATTCCAACATTTAGTGTTACTAAAATTTATCTAGACAAAATTCGGTAATCGTGAATTCTTAGTTGCGCGATTACTGCATCCTTAAGCATTTACAATTTAGTTAAAGAATATGTAGTTTGGGAAGATTTAAAAGTGAGGGGGTGGAAAAATTACTCCTCCCGGTATACTGAGTAACAGAAAAACATCTATGCCTTAAAAATAGATTTCGATGACTCAGCTTCCATTTTCTAGTAGAAACTCCGTAGTTATTGATGAAAATGTTGTTTGCTGTTTTGAAGACCCTTTTGTTGACTAGCATTTTGTGAGGTGGACTACTTTGCTCTAAAATTGATATATACACATATATTTATAAACGGATAAAGAGGCATATATCATATAATATAGTTGGCGCAAATATTGTATACAATGGTCAGGTAGTGGTGAACATTGTAAATATGACTACACCAGAAACAGAGTTAGCTTCTACTGAAAAGTTTAGGCATTTTCAGCTACAGTAGCGTAGCTTATGTCAAAAGGTAAAGCAAGTAAAAAGGAACAATATGCAGCTGCTGTACCTTAACCTGTATCCGGTTATAAACTTAGAATTCGAACACTTCAGTAAAAGTGATGAAGTATATGATTCTGTGCATAATAGACATAAAACTTTTTGATTAAGATGTGTTGTTGGAATTGAAATCTCAGGATCGGATATAAAATAAAAGGTAGCATATTTGCTAAAAGATAGTAGCCAATACGTCTCCTCCATTTAGCATGAAAATTTTACGCTAATATAATTCAAACACTTACTGCCAAATAGTGGAAACTGCAGAAGGTTGTTTTTTAATTGTCTCCGTCTTGGCTTGACAGGTGGCCTCAGGTTCGCAGTAGCTGAGTAAACAGTTTGTGGTACTTGTTGTTTCTATTGTCTTCTCCAGTGTGTCAGGTGTGACGTCCACGACGTGACATTAGGACCTCATGTAGCAGGTGATATAGCATAAGCTGGTCGACATGTTTACAGCACAAATAAGACACATTCACTTGAACGTACATTTATCAGCCTCCCTATTGGCTGAACTAATAGGTGAGCTACTGACCAATGGTGCTTGGAAGCATTCGTCTGTTCAGTGGACTGGGAAGATGACGAGGCTACGACATGCTTAATTTACTGCCAACGAAACCCAAATAGCTCAAAATGTATGAGACTTCGCAGGAAAGAAAACCGAAACACCGACTGAAAAAGTTAGTTGTAAGGGATTAAGCGCAAATTGTAATTTTGATTTTATTGATGCGCTGGTTTCTGTTCTGTTCAGAAACATTCCATAAATTATAACGCAAATGACTCTTTAAGCGAAGAATAATGTTAATATTACTGAAAGCTGGATAAGCTGGAAAATCCAGAAATAGTCTAATTACAAGCTTAAGAATGACGAATAATGGAAACAAAAAGCAGTTTATTCGAAACAATACGCAGAGTATTGTATGCAGTGCATTTTATTTTTCAGCATTCCAATATGTACGAATATTCAGTGTACTTAGGCGGTATCTAATATTCTATGGTCCCTGGATCGCTTCACGGAACTGCAGCAATATGGTGGCATATTTGGAACTGGCGGTAAAGACAAGCAAACAGCAAGTCATTCCCGACTACAGTTTCCAGTAGTTCGTAAAGTCCATCATATATATATATATCCATGGAAAATCATGTACAGATACGTACTCGGCAATAACTTGAATAATGTGAAGGAATAACTTTTAGTCAACAGATAATGGCGTTGTTACTTTATGTGTCCCAGCTATAATGAAATTACAGAAGAGTAGTAGGGGGAATCGAATGGTAAAGATAGAAATTCGTCACATCTAGACTCACTCAGACAGCCGCCACACGCCCGGAAAAGCACTGTACGTGCGTTTCATCCTTTCGGGAATCATCAGCAGTGCGCATTCCATCGGATCCCTGGTAGGGCTGGAACCCGCAACTCGGCTGTTGCTAGTCCGTGGTTGAGACCACTGAGTTACAGGGGACGGCAACGACCATCGTGAATAAGTTACTAGATGTGATAAAGCGCCGCTCATTATCCACTGACTTACACGTTACTGCCGTGCAGAGGACAGGGTAGCCCCTGTCTGAGTGATTCTAGATGTGACGAATTTCTGCCTATACCATTCAACTCCCCATACTACTCTTCTGTAATCAGTACGCAGACCAAACTGCTTATAATGCCATAAGTTAATTGGCTGCTTAAGTTTGGTAAGCTCGTCGATTGGTGATGGGTCTACCCTGTCCTCTGCACGGCAGTAACGTGTAAGTCAGTGGATAGTGAGCGGCGTTATACCACATCTAGTAACTTATTCACGATGCTCATTGCCGTCCTCCGTAGCTCAGTGGTCTCGACCACGGACTGGCAACAGTCGAGTTGCGGGGTTCGAACCCTACCAAGGGTCCGATGGAATGGGCACTGCTGATGGTTCCGGAAAGGTTGAAACGCGCGTACAGTGCTTTTCCGGGCGTAAGGCGGCTGTCTGAGTGAGTCTAGATGTGACGAATTTCTACCAATATAATGAAATTACGGTGACTGAATAGCATGATGTTGATGTCAGCTGCATTTATTAGCAAATCATTCAAAAATTCATTTGAGTCTTCTTTGTGGCATTCTGTACTCAGTATACACAGCCAGAAACCGAAAAAAACGTAAGCTACCTGTACCCACAAGTTTCTGCATGCTGAATGTTAGGACAATGTGCTCACAAATAGTAAGCCCATGATGGACAGCCCATTGGGTATGAGCGACTAGGTGGCTATATTAATTAACTATGTTTGCTATATAGAGTAGGCAACTGAACTTGCCTACATACTTCATATAATAATATGCTATCATATCTTAATAGAACTCTCTAAACCAACTATAATTAGGTTTCGATCCTCCACCGTGTGGTTGGATTACGACACACAATTTCCACTGAGATCTTGGTGCCTTGGAATCAGACCTTGTTCATTCTGATCACAAATGTCGTATCCGAAACGAAGTTGTTTCTGTGTCTGCAGGTGAGACCTCGAAACACATCATCCACTTGGGTGTTCATGAGAGCGTTTAGAGAGGTTTCTTTGAAAGGCTAAGCATTCTGGTCAACAGAGCTAAGGGAACCAGGCTAAATCTTTCCAAAAGTTGCAATCAATTTTCAGAAGCATGACTCAAAAATGCATGATACTAAGGAATATAGCATTGAGTGACTACGAAAGTAACTCAGAAACAAAGATTTTGCGCAACCTACTGGTTCATTTTATTCATCGTAACATATGTGTTCGTGAGAATAACTTTGCCTGTCGGCATTGTCTACTCAAAAATTTTCCGACATACATCAAATTACTGTAGACATTTTAAAAGTACTCACAAAGTAAAGCGTGACATCTACCCAATTGTTGCAACAGCGGACAGGACACAATGCGCCGATGAAGCAGTTGATATTATAGGGCCATGATATGCTCTCGATTTCTGGACTTGAATCCATTTCCCGTTAGATATTTTCACAGGGTTTACGGACTCCAGGAATTTCATATTTTATTTTCAATCCGGAAACAGTATTTAAGAAGTTGTTATCATTACGCGCGCATAGCCCTCCTGGAGTCAGTAACATTAGTCAGTAAGCAATTAAGGCTACGGCGACTAAGTTACCGAAGCCCCTATACGCATTCTTTCAAAGTTGTTTCAACGTAAAAGAAACCACAACTGTGTAAAAGCAGAGCCCATTCCTTCGTTTTGGTGTCGGGCGTTTTAACCACGCAAACTATCACCCAATAGCCCACCTCCCTGTGGAATCAAGATGATGGAAATGGTCGGCTCTGATGCCTTAGTAGACTACCTGAAAATGCAAGTTTTGCCAACGGAGCAGCACTGCTTCCGTCAACACAGGTCATGAAAAACAAGCTTCTTGTTGGCCAAAGTTCGTTTGTACAGAAGTAGCCGACGGCAGGGCTGGAATATAAACCATCGACCTGGAACTTTCCACAGCTTTCGACAGGGTGGATCACTGCTTCATATTTCACGGGTTTAAAGGCTATCGAATGGATGTTCCTGTTCTTTGGAGTATCCGCAACTAACATCAGCTTCAAGTGCATACCGGCTGAGCGCCCTGCAACCCAGTTTGCTGAAAATCTGCGTTCTACAGTTTTTGGTGAAGAGACCGTGAATAATCTTGGTGTTAATCACCGATCTGGTAAGGGAAATTGTCTCTAGTTTTCCGATGTTCGCTAACGAATCTGACGCATGGCCAGCGATTGATCAATGAACAATGATTTATCACGGAATAAAAGCAAATGTTTGGCACGTCCCGTAGGATCGTCGCGGTGAATATGATGAAATCAAAGTATGTCTGGGTCATCTATCGAACGTTTGCCGAGATGATTAGTTTGATAATTAAAATCAGTGTAAAATTTAAATAAATTATCCAGCGTAAACATTGAAAAATACACTGGGGTGCAGTGATGGTTGAGGTAAGGAGTGAGAAAAGTTAAATATGTTTG